CCTATTAATAATTGGATCTTGGAATGTATGAAGTATGTATGAGCCTAGGAAAACTGGAAGTCATCAGAAATGGACATTTCAAGACCTATCTTGAAGTACAATATGTGTAACAGGTTAATGTCTAACCGCATACAAGGAAATCCAGACAATATACAACTATTATTCAAATTTATGAACCAACCACTAAAGCTAGTGATGAAGAAATTGAAAAATTCTACCCATGTCTTCAGACTGATATTGAGCAAACATGAAATCAAGATGCATTCATTCATTGGTGAATGAAATGCAAAAGATGGGAACAAACAGGAGGGAACAGTAGTTGGAAAATATGGTCTTGGTGATAGAAATGAAGCTGGAGATCGCATGATAGAATTTTGCAAGACCAACAACTCATTCATAGCAAATACCTTTTTTCAACAACAAAAACAGTGACCACCACACATACACGTGGACTTCTCCAATTGGAATCCACAGAAATCAAATGGACTACATCTGTGGGAGGAGGTGATGGCGAAAGTAAATATCAGCAGTAAAAACAGGCCAGAAGTTGACTGTGGAAGGGACCATCAATTGCTCATCTGTAAATTCAGGTTGAAGTTGAATAAAATGTAAACAAGTCCTTGAAGTGTTGTTGAAGAAACTCAGTATCAGCAGCTACAACATGGCTGGTGTAGTAGTAACACCACTGATGAAAGGTGAGGCTTTATACTCCTACCAAGAGTTCTGGTCTCGGAGTCTCACAGGAGCAGTTCTGTTGTAACATATAGGGTCGCATCGAATCGATGGCAGTGAGTAGTAGTAAAATGAGGTCAGGGGCCAATTGTCGAACAGGCTGTCAATCGTTCATATGTAAGTTCAGGTTGAAATTGAAGAACATGAAAACAAGTCCACAAGGGCCATAATATAACCTTGAATATATCCCACCCGAATTTCAAGAATAGATTTGAAGAATAAATTTCAAGATTAATTGATTAAACATTAATGACAGAAGACCTGATGAGTTTTGATATGGCATCAAGAACATCATACATGAAGAAAGAAAGCAAAAGGACATTGAAAAGACAGGAAAGAAAGAAAAGATCAAAGTAGATATTAGAAGAGACTTTGAAACTTGCTCTTTATCGTAGAGTAGCTAGTGAAAACAATGAAGAAAAAAAGCTGAACAGAAAATATCAAAGGGCAACTCAAGAAGACAAAGTTATTATAATGAAATGTGCAAGACAAAAAGGAAGACCGTGCTCAGCATATATTATGCAGAAAGAACTGAAGGAAAAAGCCTCAAGTTGAAAAATTAAAAAGTTCTGTGGGCAAAATATTGAACGATGCAGAAACCATCACAAGTAGATGGAAAGAATACAGAGTCACTGTACCAAAAAGAACTAGTCACTCAACTGTTTCAAGAGGTAGCATCTAATCAAGAATCAATGCTAGTAAAGAAGGAAGTCCAAGCTGCACTGAAGACTTTAGCCACAAATAAGGCTCCAGGAATTGATGGAATGAATACCAACGGAATGCTCCAGCAGGCTGTCGAAGCACTGGAGACCCTCATTCTTCTCTGCCAAGGAATTTAGAAGACTGCCTGGCCAACTTATGGAAGAGATCCGTGTTTGTGCCCATGACAAAGAAAGGTGACCCAGTCAAATGCACAACTTATCTTACAGTATGATCGATAAGGCATGCAAGTTACGTTTTGCCGAAGATCATTCAACCACAGTTCAGCAGTATTTTGACAGGAGCCGCCAGCGGTTCAGACTGGACTCGGAAGGGGAGTGGAACAAGGGATATCCTTGATGGTATCAGATAGATTTGGGGGAGAAAGCAGAGAATACCCGAAAGCTAATCACTTGTATTTTGTTGAGTATGCAAAGGCATTCAACTGGGTAGATCATAACAAACTGGATAGCCTTGAGAAGAATAGCAATTCCAAAGCACTTCATTGTGCTCATGGGGAGCCTGTCTATGCATCAAAGGCAGTTAAGCAAACAGAACAAAGGAATACTGCATGGTTTAAAACCAAGAAAGGTGTGGGTCAGGGTTGTCTACCCTCACCATATGCTGAGCACATAGTCAGGAAAGCTGGACTATAGGAAGAAGAACACTGCATCAGATTTGCTTATTAATAACCTGCGATATGCCGATAACACTACCTTGCTTGCTTAAAGCGAGGAGGACTTGAATCACTTGATGAAGATCAAGGATTGCTGGCTTCAGTATTGATTACAACTCAATGAGAAGACCAAAATCCTCACAACTGGGTCAGTAAGTAACATGATAAATGGAGAAAAGTTTGAAGTTGTCAAGGATTTCATCTTGCTTGGATCTACAATTAGTGTTCATGGAAGCAACAGTCAAGAGAGCAAAAGACGTGTTGCATTAGGTCAGTTTGCTTCACAAGAGCTCTTTATAGCAAATAATCAAAGAGCAAGGATATTCCTTTGAGGAATAAGGTGTGCCTTTACCCAAGCTGTGACATTTTCATTTTTCTCTTACATATGTGAAAGTTGGACATTGAGTAAAGAAAATTGGAGAATTCCATGCATTTGAATGATGGTGCTGGTGACAAATATTGAAAGTACCATGGACTGCCAAAAGAACAAACAGATCTGTCTTGGAAGAAGTACAGCCAGAATGCTCCTCAGAGGCAAGGATGGCAAGACTTAATTCAGTTCATGTACTTTGGACATGTTGGAGAAACCGGCCCCTCAAGAAGGACATACTTGGTAAAGTAGTGGGACGGTGAGAAAAAGGAATAATCCCGACAAGGTAGACTGATGCAGTATCTGCAAGAATGGGCTTAAGCATACAACATGTGTGAAGATGGCCCAGGAGCCATGTTTCATTCTGTTTTACAGAGTTGCTATTGGTCGGAGCCCACTCAACAGCACCCAACAGCAGCTGCAGTCACAGAAGTTGAGTGCTATGGGAGGGAGGGATGCTCGGTGTCAGGAAAAAGATTGTGGGTACAGGCATGTCTGACCCCTACCTTAGGACAATCAAACTGGGGTCTGAAGGAGCTCGGATGTGGCCCCCACACTATTACAAGAAGTTGGTTTTGAATGTTTCTTCACTTAGAAATGTTCATGTTTTCCTTGTTGGTGTATAAAAACCTAACTGACTTTTTAAATGTTGCCCTTGTACCCAGCAGTTTTATGGAATTCCGTTGTGAGTTCTGGAAGCTTTCTAGTGGGTTTTGTTGGGATTTCACTATATTTACAACCATGTCATCAAATAGAGATAGTTTTACTCTTCCAATTTTGATACCTTTTATTTTTCTTAACGTTATTGCTCTTGCTAGGATGATCTAGTATACTAGAGCAATATTGTTCTACTAGATATCTGATAGGTATATTTTTATTTTACAGTAATTCCCATATTTTGATTCATGTCCAAACCTTCAAGACTGAATTTTGATAGTCTTATATAATGTTACTATAAGCAGCTGAATCATATTTGAAGAAAATCTCATCTTTCCTACTAGCTGGTAGTTTGTTCATGAAAATGACAAAGGCATGACAGATTCTAAAATATTCTTATATACTTCAATTACTTGAATTAAAAAGGTCAACTGTAGCTATTATTGTTAGGAATAAGCATGGTATATATTTTGATATGTCCTACTTTAAACAAGCAAGTTGTTTTGTGTTTTTTAAACAAGCAAGTTTTCTGCTTCTGCAGTCCCTGGCTCTCTGCTCTAGACACAGGTCAGCTATTTGAGTTCTACATCTGTAAATGAGGACCTCGGTTTTCAGGTTTGTCCTATTTGCCTTCAGCTCAATACTTTGTCCCTGAAATCCAAATGAAAAACAATACATAAATTCTCTGCGACTAAATTAATAGCAATGTGACCCTGCCTTACTCCCTAATGATAGCTTGCCGTTGTGTTGTAATGGTGGTCCGTGAAACTCCACTGTGACTCTTCTGTTGTTATGAGTCCACAGCCAGTGCTGATAGACATTCAGGTCTGACTTTGGGAGTGCTTGAGCCCACCATCACAGTGTTTGTTTCTGTTGAAATTTAAATCCCAATATGCTCCCATGCTTAAAACTGTTTGTCTCCATTTAGTTTGGGTAGAACATGTGTAGTGTTTTAATTTAAAAATTTTTAATTAAAAATATTGGGGCGGCGGGATTATATTCCCTGTTTGTCCCTCCAGTTTTACATACTGTTAGGCCCAGGCTTAATCTTGACTTATTCCTTCCTTTCATTTGCTTTTGAACTTGAGTCCTCTCCAAGGGTTGTAACTTGTGTTTTATGTTTATTTCCCTCTCTCCAATCTTCTCTTCCTCATTCAAACTTGGCGTGAAGTCGGTACCACATCTGTCTGCTCGGTTGGCTAGCACTCCTAATTCACCTCGTATAATAACCAGAGGACCATTGCATAACCTCATCAAATGTCCTTCCAAATGTGGTTAAAACTTTGCTTCAAAGGGGAAATGTATGGTAAATAAAAGGGTTTGAAATATGGTTATAGGCACTAGAAGTTGTTATTTTAAGTCTAGAAACATGGTTTTTAAAGGAATTTCTAGTGACTTGTGAGTGCCAAGGCTGAAACCAACTATCAAGAATATCATGGGTGAGTTTTGTTTGTTTTTTGGCCTTGGGAAAAATTGATGCCCTGGTTAGTAATTGGTTTTCTTATATTGATTGCCACTGTCACTGATTTTTTTTTTTAAAGGAAGGAAATATTCATGATGTCTTGTGGGATCCAGTGAGGAAAAATAATGATGCTTATTGATGAAATAACTGAACATTATTTGTTTTTACATGGAATGTATAAAATAAACAGACATACCTTGTGTGTTCATTCAGATAGCATGAATGGTGCCTTGTATGTGTGTGTGTCTGTGTGTAATATGTATATACACATGAATAATGAGTTTCTTTGCTACTTGTTACTGTTCCTCATCAAACATAATAATGGTGATTTTAGTTCATTATATACCTGCCTTTAATGTTTTTCATATCCGAACCTATTGACATATTTTTCTGCTTAATTTTAGGTGCCAGTTATTAAAGCTTTTGGCATCTTAAAGAAAGCAGCTGCAGACGTAAACCAGGAGTATGGTCTTGACCCCAAGGTTGCCAGTGCAATAATGAAGGCAGCAGATGAGGTAGGAGGAGCCTCAGTATGGTGATGTTGTTGTGGTCGTATTAGACCCTGATTCCCCACTGGACGATGACAAACTGTCCGGTCTAGAAGGACACAGAATTCTTCAGAAAAGAAATGTTAAGTTTGGTGACAACATTGTTGATTGGTAAAGATGTTCATCAATGGTATTGATTGGTAAAGATGTTCATCAATGGTATTTAGAATATTCGGTGGCAAAATTTCCAGGTGATCTATTTAAACCTCGGGACTTAGATATTTATAATGTTTTAAATAGATTTAGAATCGTGTTTCTGGTGTAGTGTCGCTATTGTTGGAACCAACCTGCTGGCACCGCACAGCAACAGGTATAAGTGCTTCTTTTAAAAGCTAGTTGATTGTGTCATAGTAGGCATTGAGCGTGTGATTTCACTAACCACATTATCTTAAGGAAGCAGTCCAATGGCAGGTTAAAAACTATGCCCAATGTTCTGATGATTATTTTTATAAAGTGAAAAAAAAACCAAAATTTGCTAGTGGGACTAATTATTTAAAATAACAGACTTCCAAACTGCATACTAATTTTTTTAATAATTCCAGAAGATAAAATGAAGCGCACACTCTCTTAAAATGCTTATGATCCAAAAACTAACACGAGTCACACACAGAGAATAAAAATGCCAGGAGTCTTCAGAACATGCATATGACATATGTATGTGTGTCAATCAAGAAACTATTGCATGGATTGCAAAAATTGTTTGCCCCGAATAAATTTGTGGTAAGTTTTTATAATGTGTCAGAACTGGTCCTAATTTGAGGCACTAAGAAGGATAAGATATCAGTTTATGAAGAGCCCCATTAGAGTACCATGAACTCGGCTAAAATTGAAGCAAGAACAGACATCAAATTTCTGGTGAAGTTTGTGTGGAAAATAATGAAATCATTAATATTTTACTAAAACTTTTTTGGGATAATACCCAAAAGAAATAAGCAGCTGATACCTCTTAAACAAAAACAAGTGGATAACTCATTTTAAAGAGGGATGAGGCAGTACTGAAGATGAATCTTGTCGTGGCAGATCATCCTTATCAACCATCATGGAAAAAATTAATCTTGTTTGCACTCAAATTAAAGAAGGGCTATAATTAACATCAGAAACAATAACCAACATAGATGCCTCAATTGGTTCAGTTTACAACTAATTTTGACTGTAAATTTAAATTGAGTAAACTTTCTACTTGATGGTGCCCAAACTCTTAGGACCAGAAGACAAGAATAGAATTTCCAGTGGAAATTTTAAAGCAAGTGGAATCAATTACCCAAAGCATTTCATGGAGCATTGTAGTAAGAAATGAAGCATCGCTTTACCAGTATGATCCCGAACACGAAGCACAGTCAAAGCATTGGCTCCCAGGAGATGGAGTGGTGGTCAAAACACAGAGGACCATTCAAAAGCAAAAGTCGTGACAACAGGTTGTTAGGATGCTCAAGACATTTTGCTTGTTTATTTCCTTGAAGAACAAAGAACTATAACATACTTATCATGAGAGTTCTTTGAGGTTAGCCAAGGCTTTAGCAGAAAAATGCCTGAAAAATTCACCACAATGCTCCCGCTCATTCCTTTCATCAAACAAAGACAGTGTTATGAGGGTTTTGATGAGAATTCATTAGGCATCTAAATTACAGCCTTGATTTAGCTCCTTCTGTCTTTTTTTACCCCCTTTTTCCTAATATTAAACGTTTTGAAAAGCACCCCCCTTTTTTAGTTAACACTGTAAAAACCACTGCATTGGTAGGATTCAATTGAGTTCTTTAAAGTTCATTCACTGCCATTAAATCGATTCTAACTCATAGCAGTGCTATGGAGCAGGGTAGAATTGCCCCTGTGAGATTCGGATACTGTAGAAGTAGAAAGCCTCCAACAGCTAACAGTGATTAGCAGCCCAATGCGTAACCACGGCTGCTGCCAGGCTATTGAGGGGTGGACTAAAGGGTGACATCATCATTTATAAAAAGTGTCTGGACCTTGATAGAGCTTAGTAGATAAATACATTTTTTATTTTTAAAGTCCATTTTCTCCAAATTTTTGAAGTCCTTTATATAAGATATGACTAAAATAGGGACAAATCTGAGTCTATATTTGGTAATTTCTACTTGGACACATGTGAGACAAAATAGCTATTAGTGAATTAGCATTTCCAAATCACTAGTTCATTATTAGGCTAACTCCATTATGACATCTGTTAGATGTTGCTATTAAACACCAACAGTAATCTAAATATTTAGCACTTTGCCAACCCTAGCAACTGGCCCTATTTGAATACTTCTAGAGGAGAAATGCCTTTTTAAATAAATTAGTCTCCATTCAAAGTACATAATATTTCACGTTTTAAAATCACAGTGATTTGAACAAATGATGTGACAACCTGGGATTTTCCAAATACCCATACATTTGAGCTATGGGTATTATTAATTAGCAAGCCTAGGAATAAGAATAAATTTTAAAAATTATATACATGAGTACTATAAATGGGGTTTACTTAACCATGGCATTTTGAAATAGTTGAATAAATAAGAAATAAATAAATGAATAGTTGAATGAATAAAAATGAATAAAAAATAAATTATTTTCCTTGTTCCTGCAGGTGGCTGAAGGTAAATTAAATGACCATTTTCCTCTTGTGATATGGCAGACTGGATCAGGAACACAGACAAATATGAATGTAAATGAAGTCATTAGTAATAGAGCAATTGAAATGTTAGGAGGTGAACTTGGGAGCAAGAAACCCGTGCATCCTAATGATCATGTTAATAAAAGCCAGGTCAGTATATTATCTCTGTGTTGTGAGTTGAAAAGCACTGGAAATTTTTCTTGTTAAACCAAACATTAGCTTTTAGACAAGGAAGGTTCATCCTGCGTCTGTTCTTCATCTAAGAAGACTTCTTATACGTTCTTATTTCTTTTAGAATCTTGACTCTGTCTAGAATGTTATAAGAATCACTTATAGGACTTAAATTTATTTTATATGAAGAGGCTTCAAAAGCCTGGTGGGAAATTTTAAAAATAATTGTTTCCATGAGCCTTTTGAAGCTCCCGTGTGTGCGTGTATGTGTGTGTAAAACATTAAAAAATAATTTTAGCTTTATAAAGGTAGTTCAAAGAGTTTCCATATGCCTTTAGCTTCCTTTTAATCTTAAGATATAGCCATGATAGTTTCATTAAGACATTAATACTGGTATAGCACAATTAACTAAAGTCCAGACTTTATTAGAAATTCTCTAGAATCCATTTCAGCCTATCACATTGCATTTAGTTGCCATGCCCCTTTAGTCTCCTCTAATCTCTGACAGTTCCTTTTGTGACTCTGGGGCTTTTGAAGTAGCAGTTCACTTTTTTGTAGTTGTTACTGTTACGTGACAGTCAGTTCTGATTCACAGCAATTTTGTGTTCATCGGAATGTAACACTGCCTCACCCTGTTTTATCCTCACTATTGTTTGAGTTCACTGTGGCATTACATACTCCTGAGGGGCTTCTTCTTTCTTGAGGACTCTCTACAAAATAGGATAAGCTTCTCCAGGAACTGTTCCCTCATTATAGCATGTCCAGAGTATGTGAGGAGAAGTATCACCTTTTTGGGTTCTGTGGAACATTCCGTCAACATTTCCAAAACGTTTCTTTCTACTGGAGCCCTCTTTTTTCCCCTCCCTCCCTCCCACTCATGAATCCTTGATCAATTACATATTATTGTTGTTATTTCTTACCCTGTCAGTTGTCTCCCGTCACCCACATTTCTGTTATTTGTCCCCCTGCGGGGTGGGCTATATATCCAAGCTTGTGATGGGTTCCCCTTTCCTCCCCCTTTCCCGCCCCCACCATCTTCTTACTCCCATGGAATCGCTGCTCCCACTACTGTTATCTGGCCTGAATTCCATGTGTCAAGAGCTCTTACCATTCATTTTTAACTGAGTTTCGTTTCAGCCCTGGGTGACTCAGACCCTATACTATGAGCTACCTGGACTTTAGATTTTGTATTCTCAAGGTGTGCAGCATACCTGCATAGATAGCTACAGTATGCTGTACACCTGAGGCTGAAAACAACCCACTGAGACAGACGTAAACACACTTGTTGCAGATTGCTTTGGACTTAGAACCAATAACCCTCATGCTGCCCTAAGGTGTGGATTTGGAAGTAAATGGACTTAGGTTTACTCCACTTGCTTTTGAGGTTGCCCAGTATAGGCAATTTAAGATTACTAAACACTTGCCACTTTCAGATTTTTTTAGTTTTTTGAGACATGTTTTAGTTCTGCAAACGGTCCTGTTATAGCAAATGAATGTTACTGATATTTTTGCACTGTCTGACCTTCATTGTTTTCTCAAAGAAGATTCAGTCACGTTTTTTAAATATGTAAAAGTGAACATCCCATTTATTTTAGTCTCAAATGCTCTCCCATATGTGAATATTCCCCCTTAATTCAATAGTATTTACCATTGGTTATTTTAATGATACTATTATTTGAATTACCAATGGCCCTATTGAGGTTACTTACATTATTTCTCTGAAAGCTGATGATGTTGCCACTAAAGTAGAACTAAAGCGGGGGTGGGGTGGGCGGGCAGCCATGGTGGAGGCTGAGCTGGAAGCCAACCCCTTCTACGACCCCTACCACAACAAGATTCAGCAGCTGCGCAGGTCTGACCCCACTGCCTTTGAGTCTCACCTGGAGAAGCGCAGTTTCAGACGCAGCCAGGAGGGCACTCCAGGCAAGGTGGCTGTATCACGTGTGTGGAGCAAAAGACCGACACCTTGGGGAAACCGTCTTTGAGCAGGGGATTCACTAAGAACAAGACTCTCAGTTCAATCTTTAACATTGAAATGATGAAAGATAAGACTGCAAAAGAAATAAAACTGATTTGGCAGCAGTATTTTGCAGCAAAAGATAGTCTACGTAGTTAGTCCTGGAGAAAAGTTTGATTTGATCCAACATTTCTATATGCTCTACCAAGCAGGGAAGGTTATGAATTCTTTGTAGGACAATGGACAGGTACTGAACTCCACTTCTCCGCACTGATAAATATTCAGACCCAAGGGGAACCTGCGGCCAGCCAACTGCTTTTGTGCCTCTCCCCTGCACTTAAGGAAGAAAGAGGAATCGTGCTGATGACAGCAGAAATGGACTCCACATTTCTGAATGTTGCCGAATGAAGCACAGTGCATTGCCAGCCAAGTTCAGCTCTTCTACACCACTGACCAGAAAGAAACCTACGGGTTAGTGGAGACCTTGAACCTCAGGCCAAATGAGTTCAAATACATGTCTCATCGCTGAATTGGAGCAAAGTGGACTTGCAGCAAAACTGGAAAATGTGCCCAGAACCAGGATAAGGCGTAGAGCTTCTAAGCGTTGGCCACTCAGGGTCTGCTTAGCCCTGGGTAATCTATAGCCCACCCACTTGAACTACAAAGAACTCAACTTGTAATCCTGAGTGGTCTCTAATGAGCTGTCCTACGTGCTTGCTGAAAGAAATGATTGTGGAGGTGAGCCCTACTTCTTGATATTCAGATCCAAGGTACCCAAACTTTCTGATCATTCTTCCCAGCATACTTGAGACTTCCTTTTAAGGGACTATAGTCAAAGCAAGAGATAGTCAAGGATCTGCAGGATGGTTTACTAGATTTTACCTAGTGCGCCAGTCTGTGTTGTATGTTGTCCCTTTGGACCTCCCAGCACCCACATGACAGCTCCTCTGCTATTTGAACTTGTGGCAGAATAATGATCTGAGAGTCCTGTTCCAGTTAGATGTAAGCTATTATGTCCTCTTCCCTGCCCTCCTTGGCCATCCAAAGACATAACCTGGATATCCTTATTTAGAGTCTCGAATAACTAGATGTTTCCATCAGGATAAAGACTTCATCCAGATATCCCCAGCTTTGCCTTTAGTGTAGCTGGTTTGAGGTGTCAACAGACGTCACGTATAATGAGATACAGGAGGACCGTGCCTGCATGTTATTAAACCTTATGAGGTGGCACTTGCTTCTCTAACTCAGCCTGTTAGAAATTGTGTATCTGAAGGGGATATGTCAATAGTGTAAATAAACCACACCTTTGTAAGGGGAAGATCAATCCCGATTTGCATGCTTTTATTTAAAGCAGTTCCAAGTAGTGCTATTGTTATATAGAATAGTAGGTGGAAGCAAACGTTCCTAGACTGAGCGTGGGGAAAATACAGCAATGAAATCGAAGCCCTATGCTGTCCTAGCTGTCAGTCTGTGGGCTGATTTCATCAAAACCAGTGTTGAGACGCAGAGCAGATTCCTGAAATGCTACGAATGAGAGAGGAGCTCTCCAGAGTTGGGATCCCTGTTTAGTTGGTAATTTCACTGTGGTGACTTGAAGCTCAGCCATAGAAAAAGATGCTGGTCACATCCATCCTTCTGAACCCGACGCCCCAGGGGCACATCAAAGTATTGTCTGCCATTCTTTTTCAGAGGTAGCATGCTCCTCAAGGGCGCCTCCTGCCTAAGTTCTGGTTGGGTGACACCCCATATGGCGCATGGGAATTTAACCAGTGTTTTGCAGTTGATGTGAATGTGGGCTTGTTTCGTTTTTTTCTTAAACCATTTTACTGGGGGCTCATACAACTCTTAGCACAATACATACATCAATTGAATCAGGCATGTTTGGACACATGTTGCCCTCTTCTAGATATTTACTTTCTATCGAGCCCTTGTTATCAGCTCTTTTTCCCCTACTTCCTCCCCCGCCACCCTCATAACTCCCTGATAGGTTGGACATTGTTATTATTTTCATCGCTCACACTCACCACTGTCTCCCTTCCCTCATGTTTTCTGTTGTTCTTCCCCCTGTAGAGGGGGGTGTATGATTATGTCATTGCAATCGGTTCCCTCTTTCTCTCTTCCTATCTCCCTCTTCCCCTTATCCTTCTGGTATCACTATTCCCACTCCTGTTCCTGGATTCTGTGTGCTGTGAGCTCCCATCCTTTTCTAAACCTGTGTACATGTTCCGGTCTAGTCTGAATTGAGAAGCAGCACCAGGGTCTTGGTAGTGGGAGTGAGGAAGCCTCAAAGAACCAGAGGATTATAGTGTGTTTCATCGATGCTTCACTGCACACTGGTGACTCATCCCTTCCCCGTGGTCCCTCTGTGGGGAGATTGTTCCATTGTCTACAGATGGGCTTTGGATCTCCGCTCCAGCCCCCCTGGTTCTCAACAATCTGTTTTTGTTTGTTATGTGTCTGCTAATGCCTTTTACCCGGTCCCTATGACTTCTCATCATGATCGTACTTCTCCATGTGGACTTGTTGCTTCACTGCTCAATGGCGGCTTGTGTAACTTCAAGCCTTTAAGACCCCAGGCGCTATATCTTTTAATAGCCGGGCACCATCCACCTTCTTCACCACATTTGTTTATGCACCTATTTTTTTTTTTTTTCAGCGATTGTGTCGGGAGGGTGAACATCTCAGACTGCCAATTGGTTAGAACAGAGTGTTCTTGTATTGAGGGAGGGTATGAGCAGAGGCCCAAAGTTTATCCTCTACAATACAAAGTCCATCCCCTACCTCGGTGTATTGCACACTCTTTAGAGATTCCGATTCAGTAGGTTAGGGGCGAGGCCTGAGAATCTGCCCTTCAAAGTGTCTGAGGTGATTCTACTGCAAGCTGAAGTCTGAGAAGCAGTGAGAGAAGTTGTGCTCTTTGAAGTGGAGTGAAGGATGACCTGCACAGCTGAGCTGCTAATCTGTGTTGGTCTTTAATGGGAGAAGAGGCAGAAGGCCAGCGAGAAGAGCATGTACATAAATATATGCACATGGGTCAATACCTCTATTTTTGTGCATTAATGTATTTACGTATGTGCACCACTATGTTTACACCTCGATCCATTGCTCTGCTTCCTTGGTCCTTCCTCTGTTTCCTTTGACCTTCCTCCTGCCCCACTGCCACTTCCCCTTATTTCCTTCTCTTGGTTCCTGCTCTTAGCTAGTTTACTGTTGCTCCGACACCTCTCCACACTCTGACACCCGCTGCCCCCCGCCTCAGATTGTGTGCATGTTAAGAAAGGAGCTTTTAGAGTTGGGGCTGATCTCCATGCTCTTTCGGTGGAATTAGATTTGCCGTTATATTCTGAGCAGTATCTGTTTTCTTGTACCTCTGAGTCTGTGTAGAGAAAGACAGAGTTCAGCCTGGAGAAGCTGCTAATGGTTCACAATTCTGTAAAGGTTGAGCTGATTCCTAATGAAAATTCTGGCCCTACCTCTGAACGTGCAGTTCATCTTTTGAGACATTTTGCCAGCCACGCCATCTTCCTTAAGTGCCCACTGACCATCCTAATTCTTTGAGGCCCATGAACCTTTGATAGCAGGTGGGGTTGCCTTTGTGATTATCAGGTTCTGTTTGTTTTTCCCTCCAGATGACCCAGTTCTTAGTCATCAGATATTTTTTATAATGCCCCCACCAAAGGGTGAGTAAATGATGAGAAAAGAAGTGCTTATTCATTTCATTATTTGTCCCAGCTTTGCCCTAAATCCCTACATGCCAAAAAAAGGGTGTATCTATAGATAATTATATTGGACGTGACCAGAGTACCTTCTGGCTGTTGTTTATGTTTGTTTAGAGAGATCTGGCAAAGAACTGAAAACCGTGGCTTCAGTAAATTTGCCCCCTGGTGCCAGCACAGTGTTACGGAAAATAGACAGTCCTTAAAGTTAAGTAAATCTTGGTTCAAATGTCAGCGTGGCTTCATTAGCTCTACAGGTTGAACGAGTTCTGTCAGCTCGCGTTCTGTTTCGTCACGTATGACACGGCGATGATGTCGACCTCATTGCACTTTTCTGAGACTTAAATCAGCTCAGATTAAAGTAATGCTTGATGGCTGTAAACATGCTCTTCTCGCTGGCCTTCTGCCTCTTCTCCCATTAAAGACCAACACAGATTAGCAGCTCAGCTGTGCAGGTCATCCTTCACTCCACTTCAAAGAGCACAACTTCTCTCACTGCTTCTCAGACTTCAGCTTGCAGTAGAATCACCTCAGACACTTTGAAGGGCAGATTCTCAGGCCTCGCCCCTAACCTACTGAATCGGAATCTCTAAAGAGTGTGCTGGGAATCTGCATTTTAACCTGCATTCCAGATGACTCTGGTGCAGGTAATTTAGCCAGCCCTTTGAGAATCCTTGCCTTCTCTGTTTTCACAAAAATGCCCAGTGGCCTGGTCTTTCTTCCCTATAGGCACTATCTAGGATTTCAGTTTCTCTACTCTGTACCTCCCATGTGATTTGCAGAATTCAGCGGCACTGTAATTTATTTATGTCTTCTCTCCCACTAGATTGTGAGCTCCTTGAGAGTCAGGATCTATCTCCACCCCCTAGTGCCACAGGCATGGCCTGGACCTTAGAAAATGCCCAACTGTTGGCTGAGTCAATAAATGGCATGAGTTTGGTTTTTTTTTTAAACATTTTGTTAGGGGCTCATACAACTCTTATCACAATCCATACACACATCAATTGAATAGCATGAGTTTTAGCCACAAAAAAAGTAGAACTAAAGTTATGAATTGGAACCAACTTGACAGCACTCGACAACAACAACAAAGTGGAACAGAATGATATGTGCACACACACACACAACTGTATGTACTTTAGCTATATGAATGGATTTTGAGCTTGCACTTAACTATAAATGCTAACCTAGGAACAATCAGACCTTATGATACTTAACCTCATGACGGGATCACTGACAATATGGGTGCTATAGCAAACTGTGGCGAAGAAACTAGATGGTGCCAGTCTAACAGAAAGAATAGTATATGAGGTCTCACACGCTTGTTTTACAACAAGTAGCCTTCTAAATAAGGAGTAGCCATCTAAGTCTACCTGTATGATACAAGAATTTTAAGTAAAATCCAAGAGAAGGGAATTGTATTGGAGTTTAAGTTCTGAGCACCTCATTTGTGGCCATGGATGACAGTGAAAATCCAAAATCCATTTTCAGACTTCCCACCAGATTAAACCTCCATTAAGTTCCTTCAGCCCATTCACCATGGATGTAAATAGCAATACCCTCAGATAGAATATATCAGAACGTGAAGTATGCCTATGTAGTTAGATTAAATGTTAACATCTTGTCATTTGTTTTCTCTTTTGACCCTGTTTTAATTTTTTTGAGTTTCTATATTTCTTGGATTGAAGTTTTTCTGTTTTATTTTGTTATTGGTTTTTTTTTTGTATAACATGTTCTTTATATGAAATCCAGGATTAGTAAATCTATAGACAGTTACTAAAATAATAGTTTATTAGGGTTATAGCAGGGGACCTTCAGGGGGAAAGGGGGGGTTTTAAACCAGAGTTTAAAAATGAGGAAAATATTCTAAAGTTGATTGTGGTGATGAGTACACAACTTTTTTAATATGTTCCAGCCATTAAATTGTATGGTATGTGAATTACATCAATAAAAAATTTTAAAAGTAAAGAAGATCGAAGACGAAAAACTGAAAAGAGCAAGCCACATCCCCAAGGAGTCTTTCTTCCAGTGACCCAAGCATGTGCTTCATGACGGGGGCCTATGTTGGTGGTGGTGGTGGTGTTAGTACCATTGAATTAGTTTCAACTCTGCAACTCATGCGCAACAGAATGAAGCACTCCAGTCCCGCACCATCCTCAGAATTGTTCTCATGCCTGAGTCCATTGTTGCAGCCACGGGGTCAGTTCATCTTGAAGACCTCCTGCTTTTTTGCTGCCCCTCGACTTCACCAAACATGATGTCCTTCTCCAGAGACGGGTCTCTCCTGACACCATGTCCAAAGTATGTACGTATGCTGTACCCTAACTGCTGGCTGATCACAAAGTGGAATACATCCTGTTAGAGCCCATCATGGAGTCGATTAGGTTAGAACACATCACGTAGAGATTACTATTGAGAACCCTCGCCCAGCCAAGTTGACATAAAACCTGTCACACATGGTAAAGAAGAGGGTCAGCTATAAAGAGGAGAACCCTCAATGAAATGAATTGACACAGTGGTTGCAACCATGGGCCCAAACCTAACAATCGTGAGGATGGTGCAGGAACCAGCAGTACTTTGTTATCTTGTCCATACGGTGCCTATGAGTTGGACTGATTGAAGAGCACGGATATAACAGTGGTGATAATACTCGAGGCAAAAGCACTGACTGAGTTGAATTTACTTGGTTGACTCCCAGTATTATTAGTTACTAACCTTTTGTCAAGTCACATCATCTCTAAGTTGACTTTACTATTTTTAAAGTGATAACCTCACAGCATTCCTAAAATTTAACAAAGGAATAAAAGTTTATGGAAGTATGTATACATGGTATATAAGGTGTTTTATTATTGCTGTGTTCAAATGCAATTTTTAACAATGGTTTTCTATCTTTCACTGTTATTTATTAGTAGTCAGATATAGTAATGTATACATACATTCAGTATAGGTGATGCGTAATAGTAACATAGTTCTAATAGAGTTCATATAAGAAATCTGGTTGATTCTCATTTTGTCCTATCTTGCCATATATAAATATAATTGAGTACTGTGTTAAACAGGGTTCTCTAGAGAGATAAAACCAAGTTGCTGATAATTTAATAAACTTATAAAGAAAATTAGATATATAACACAAGAAATGAACTGTTAAATTATATATACAGATAGAAATATAATACAAGAAATGAACAGTTAAATTATAAAGCAGTACAGATGGCTCAGTGCAACTCACTCCCGTGACAGAGAGTTGTGAGACACTAGCAGTCCTTTCAGACTAGGCTGCTGCCAGGTCTTCCTGTATTTATAGAGAGAGCTAGGCTATCTCAGCACAGCAGCCAATCACAAGGCAGGTCACCAACTGACAAGCCAGGTCACCAACCTCCAGTCCCCAGCTCCAGAGATGTCTTAAAGGGACCTCAACTTACAGTGCACAGTCCACAGGCTAGGCATCCCACAGGTAGTGTAGCCTGTAAATTGAGGCACAGAACAAGCAAGGCAGCCGCACACTGGTCTGATGATCAAAGAGCGAGAAACAAGAAAGGCGAGGCTCACCAAGCCATTTATCTCTCCGCCCTTCAGTTAATCCCACTTGTGTTTACCAGCCAGGCTGGCACAATAAACTCTCTCAAGTACTAACTACATATTAGTAATTTTCTTAATGAGACATTCAAGTTTTTTTATGCCTTTGATTACTCTTACATGTTTCTTCTGAAACTTTTCCAGAGTTCAAACGATACTTTCCCCACTGCAATGCACATCGCTGCTGCAACAGAAGTCCATGAAGTACTGCTACCAGGACTACAGAAGCTACATGATGCTCTCAATGCAAAATCCAAAGAGTTTGCCCAGATCATCAAAATTGGTCGTACTCATACACAGGATGCTGTTCCACTTACTCTGGGACAGGTATAAGTGTGACCAGGATAGTGCATTAAATTTAAGCATTGGCAAAATTGGCCATAAGAGTATCCTCTAAATCACACTGATATTAAAAGGCAAGAAAGAACAATTAAGTTAACTGATATAGATTGTTCTGCATTAACCTGTCATCAGTTTTTGTTGATAGTCACTTAGGACAGTGATTCTCAATATATACCTCATAGTCCACCAGTTGATCCACTGTGTAATATAGGGAGAACAGAGCAGACTGATGATACTGTGTTATAACAAAGGGCCCTGGTTCGGCAACAGTCAGCTTCCCAGCTAGCAGAGAGCTGATCAGTTGGTATAGGACCTGAGGAGGGAGAGGGTCTCCTGTGGAAAGGTAATAAATGGCCCTGGGTATATACTTCCTGTTTTGTGAGATTCCACATCACACCACACAATCCAGCTTCCACACAGAGATCCTAGGGTGCAGATAGGTAGGAATGGGAGTGCAAGCTGCGAAATGGCTTCTAAGCAGAGGGAAGTCAGGAGGTGAGTCTTGTGTCAGTGAGCTGGGCCAGGCAGAGCCGCAGAGACTCACTGCTGTACCAAGCTGCAGGTTCTCTGGTGGGAAAATAATCTTGGAACATCCAGAATTCAGATCTCATGTCTGCTTTCTTAGGGCACAGGTTAGATTCTCTGTGGGACTGGTAGATTTTCCAATAGATGACCTCTTTGGAGGATCAGTGTTTCTTTTTTATTACTTAGGTTTTAATGCAGTTAGAGTAACTCATAAACTATTAGGGAATTATTCATCCTCATTGTAATTTCCTTCTCTCCAGGAATTTAGTGCTTATGTTCAACAAGTAAACTATGCAATGGTAAGAATTAAAGCTGCACTGCCAAGAATCTATGAGCTTGCAGCTGGAGGCACTGCGGTTGGTACTGGTTTGAATACTAGAATTGGCTTTGCCGAGAAAGTTGCTTCAAAGGTGGCTGCACTTACAGGTTAGTGATAACATGAATCCTTACTAGTTTTCTGTACCGTTTATTAGTTTTCTGCCTTGAAGTCTTCAAGTTATAAGTGATACTTTCCTACCAAACACTTGGGTATTAGGTCTTTCTTGGATGTCATGGTATGTAATTCTGTATAATTTTTTCTTTTTCTTTCTGTTGAGCGCCATCTCTGAGACCCTAGAGCCTAGGATTGCCATCTGGCAGTGTTTCTAGCTTTGTTTCCTTTCTGATGGTGTTTAGTCATTTTCCCTGGAAAGCTGTTTTGCATACCAATTTTCAAAGCAGGCAGGTTAATGATTGAAAAATTCTCCTGCTATTAAAAAGGTGCTTGCCCACTACTTGGCGTGTACTAAATAGACATCTAGGAAAATTAGAAATTGTCAGAAATGGAATGGTTAAAGCAGTGGTCCTCAATCTCCCTAATGCCACAACCTTTAATGCAGTTCCTCATGCTGGGTGACCCCACCCAACCATACAATTATTTTCATTGCTGTTTCATAACTAATTTTGTTACTGTTATGAATCGGGCGACCCCTGTGAAAGGATCGTTTGACCCCAAAAGGGGTCACAGCCCACAGGTTGAGAACCGCTGGCATAAAGATTGATTGGATTCTTAGAATTGGAATTGACCATTTTGAATTTAAAAATCCCATGATTTATTCTTCTGGAAATGACATACTGCAGACCAGTGGTGTTGTATTTATTGTCCAAAAGGACATTTCAAAATCAATCTTGAAGTATACAGTGCTGCTATGTGTGATAGGATTATATCTACCCTCTTTCACGGAAATCATATCAATACAACTAGTATTCAAATTTATGCACCAACCACAAAAACTAGTGGTGAAGAAATTGAGCAATTTTAACTTCTGTCTCAAATTGATCAAACATGCAATCAAGATACAGTGATATTATTTTCTACTGAAATGCAAAAGTTGGAAACAAAGGAAGGAATAATAGTTGGAAAACATGGCCTTAGTGATAGAAACAAAACTGGAGATTGCATGATAGAATTTTGAAAGACCAATGATATGTTCATTTTTCAATAACACAAAAGAATATATACATGGATTCTTCCAGATAGAATCTACAGAAATCCAATGGACTATTTCTATGCGAAGAGACGACGGAGAAGCTCAAACCAGGCAAGGGGCTCACTGGAATCAGACCGTCAAATGCTCATATGTAATTTCAGGTTGAAGCTGGAGAAAAGTAAAATAAGTTTACAAGAGCCAATATACAATCTTGAGGCTGCCCCATTTCAATTTCAAGAACAGGTTTTTAAGACATAGAACACTGACAGAAACCCGATAAGCCATGGGAGAACATCAAGAACATCATTACTGAAGAAAGCAAAATACCATTAAAAAGGCAGGAGAGGGGGGGCAAAATAGCTGTCAGACTCTGAAGCTTGCTTTTTATTGTAGAGTAACTAAAGGAAATGGGCGAAATGATGAAGTCCAAGGGCTGAACAGAACATTTCAAAGAGAGCAGCCAGTGGTGGAGGCAGTGGTTGCAGCAGGTCTCGCCCCTTGGCGGAGGCGGGAGCCGCTTTTAGCCCACACCGGGTGCTGAGACAAGGAGGCAGAGGATGGAGTGTTCCACATAGACCGGGCCCTGCCATGGGCTCCCAGGATGAGCCAGAGGCCAGGGAAGCACGCAGCTGGCAGAAGTGGCACCTGAACACCTCCTTGGGAGTAGCTGCAGTGGCCACCACCAGGAGTTTTATTTTGAGGGCAAAGGCCTCTGTTGTATCTTGCAGGAGTCAGTTAAAGGAAAGCATGGGCCATGGGGGAGCTTGACCGGATGAATTTGGCATGGAACATTATGAGAAATTTGAAGTCTCAGAAACTAGTGTGAACAGAGGGTCAGAAAAAAGAGACCAGAATGTTCTGAGCTACTCGGTAAAGGGGGACATGGAAAGGTTTTTCAAGTACGAAAAGTAACAGGAGCAAATACTGGGAAAGTATTTGCAGGTGCTCCAAAAACAGAACAGAATATTCTGGAGGAAGTAAAACACCCCTAATGGTGGGATTAATTTATGTCTTTCAGACCAGTGGAGAACACTGTGCCTCATCCTTGAGTATCTCAGTGGAGGAGAACCAGTTATGCAGTTAGAAAGAGAGGGAATATTAATGGAAGACATAGCTTGCTTTTACTTGTCAGAATTCTCTGTGGCTTTGGGGCATTTACATCAAAAGGGGATCATCTACAGAGACCGGAATCGGGGGTTGATCATGCTTAATTACTAAGGTCATATGAAACTAGCAAACTTTGGACTATGTGAAAATCTGTTCATGAAGAGCAGCTAATGGTTAACAGTCCAGTGCTTAGCCCACTGTGCTATCCAGTCTCCTGGATTATTATACCCTCGATGATGATAATTATTAATGGAGCCAAGTTGACATTTCCTAACAAATCTTAGTGTGCTACAGATTTTATGAGATGTTATTATCAGCACTTTCTAAATTTTCTTATTTCAATATATTTATTGTTTATTTTTCACCCTTAAATTACAAGTATATTAATTCCACCAGATTCTCTCCACTCCTTCATGGCTTCTTAAAACTGTAGACACTAACATAGATAAAACTGAGCATTAAATATCTATTTTTCTGAAGTAAACTTCCATTTTCTATTTCATGTGCTGGAACTTTCGGTTTGTTTACATTGCTGATACTAGAAACGTGCTTTTGTTGTTGTTCACGGATATAGACTGTTTTTGCTTGTTTGTTTTCTTCAGGCTTGCCTTTTGTTACAGCTCCAAATAAATTTGAGGCTCTGGCTGCTCACGATGCCTTGGTTGAGCTCAGTGGAGCCATGAATACTGCAGCATGTAGTCTGATGAAGATAGCGAATGACATTCGTTTTCTGGGTTCTGGTCCTCGCTCGGGTCTGGGAGAACTGATACTGCCTGAAAATGAACCAGGAAGCAGTATCATGCCAGGTACATTATTAGTAAATGTAGCAAGAACTTGACCCCAGGCAATCTCATTCATAGACCATTTCCTGCTGTGTAATGTGATCTCAAAAACGGATGGGTGTACATGAGGCGACTTATTTCAGAATGTCTGTATGGGCTTCATTAATTGGGACTTCTGGGAACATTACCCATTAAGATAGGAATAAAGAATTTGAATTAGCAGCATTTTCTCTAATCCCCAACCTAGAAATTGGGTGATAGGTCTTTTATTATTGAAAAGCTAAGAGAATTCTTGGATTGTCTGTTAAAGTCATTAGCAAGGGCTGAATATAAGCATACCATAGTAAATGTCTTTTATTTCAGTTTTTTGAATTGAATTATAGTCTTGTTAGACAAGGGAAGTGAAATAGATGCGGTGTGTCTACATTTTAGTAAGTCACTTGATAGACTTACACGATAATTACTGAACGTCGTGGAGAAGCCGTGGCAATACTGTGAGATAAACATTGCTGGCCAGCAGAGTGACATTTTAAGGAATGACCCATGAATTGGCTTCAGCCTGGGAGAATGTCTTGATAATAAGCTGATTGGCCCCTGCAACATCTTACTGCTGAGTGAGAGTAAAGGCGTTGAAACTGCTGATTGTAAAAGAGTTGAGATGGCAATATGTTGGATGGCAGAATCAGGATTTACAAAGGCCTCTGATTCATAAAATTGACCCACTGACTTTTAATAGTGGAAAAAGAAGGATCTCACTTTTTTTATTTTAAATCCTCAAGTGTACGTAAAAAGGTATTGCTACTAAAGTTCTAGTGGATGGGTTTATTGTAAACAATACCTGTTTAAACATGTCGGTGTATGGTTATAGACATGTTCTTTCAGTAATACACTTGTCTTTCTCTTATTAGGATGGTTTGTTTGTTTGTTTTCCCCCTAAGGCAGTGGTTCTCAACCTTCCTAATGCTGTGACCCTTTAATACAGTCCCTCATGTTGTGACCCCAAGCATAAAATTATTTTCGTTGCTACTTCATAACTGTAATTTTGCTCCTCTTATAAATTGGGTGACCCCTGTGAAAGGGTCAACCCCCAAAGGGGTCCCAACCCACAGGTTGAGAACCGCTGCCTTAAGGGTCACTTGTTCTATGGCAGAAAACCATTTTGAAATAAGGACTAATAGCAGATTTTTAACAAATTTTTAACAAAAATCGACTCAAGTCGATATCTTCCCAATCACTGAAGCTTTGCAACAGGTTTATTGGAATGCTGCCTCACATAAAGCAAGCTTGTAGCAAGTTTTATATATTAAACATTTCAAGGAAGGTCAGAAAGACCTTAAAATTGAATTCAAGGCAGAGAGGTCAGCTCAGAAGTTTATGGTGAATTTTTTGGTTACCCCAAAGGGGTGGTCTTGGTAGATTTTCTCAAGCAACACAGGCCAATCACAGGGGCTTATTTTGAAGAAGTTTTAAGAAAACCAAAAACTGTCTTGGTGAGAAAAATAACAGGAAAATTGTGCTGAGGGATTTTTTTCCATCTCGACAATGTACCTGCTCATTCTTCCAGGGTAGCAAGGGCTCTCCTGTAAGAATTTCCGTGAAAAGCCTTTAGCCCATCCACCCTAGAGCCCTTCCTTTTGTTTCGCGAACTCAGCACTTAAAGGAACCTTATTTAATGATGCCAACCGTGTCATTGTGATGGGGTGCAAAATGAAGAATGCGGAATTCTTCAGGGAAGAGTTAAAGAGATGGAAACATGGCATTTTAAAGTGTATAGTTCTAGATCAGGGGTGGAGCACCTTTTTTTCTGCCAAGGGCCCTGTGGATAGTTATAACATTATTCATGGGCCATACAATTATCAGCTTAAAAAGAAGTCTGCTATATTTGGCTAAACATTTAACCAACTCACCCCTAATGTGATGGCACGGGACCTCTTTAGAATATTGAAAAGCAAGGGTGTTAATTTGAGGACTAAGGGACACCTGACCCAAGCCACGATGTTGTCAGTGGCCTCATATGCATATGAAAGTTGGATGTTGAACAAGGAACACCGAAAGAGTACTGATGCGTTTGAACTGTGTTGCTGGAGAAGAATATCAAAATACCATGTATTGCTGAAAGGACAAGGAAACCTGTCTTGGAAGAAGGCCAGAGTGCTTCTTAGGGCCACGGGTGGTGAGACTTCATATTAGATACATTAGATATGTTACCAAGCGA